AGCCAACTGTGCAGAAATTACACACTACACCTTTAAAGAAATAGCTCACCAAAAAAAATATATTTTGCTGAAAATGTCCTCACTTTCAAGCCATCCAAAATGTAGATTATTTTGTTTCTTCATCAGATTTGGAGAAATTTAGAATTGCATCACTTGTTCACCAATGGATGCTCTGCAGTGAATGGGTGCCATCAGGATGAGCGTCCAAACAGCTGATAAAAACATCACAATAATCCACAAGTAATCCACACCACTCCAGTCCATCAGTTAATGTCTTGAAGAGTGAAAATCTGTGTTTTTGCAGGAAACAAATTCATCATTAAGATGTTTTTAACTTTAAACAGTCACTTCTGGCTAAAATGTGAGTCTATAATCCATAATAACGCTTCCTAGGATGAGTCGATCGGTGCTCTCAGAGGTTTTATCTTAAGGGTTCATTTCCTGGCCAGGTTAAGTGAGAGACACTGAATATATGAGTCTGGGTGAGATATAGTTCACTTGCAACCCTCTGTCGGAGATGATCAAACATCTCAGCTTAAAGAGAAAGCCTAATGCTCCTTGTGTTTTCTTTGCACGCATCTTATTTGTCATGCAGATAAAAAAACATTCAAACTGAAAGCTAAACTGAAACCACTCAGGGGTTTTATCTAAGAGAAGACAATGTTTGCTCTAAACAACTTGTCAGTTTTCTTTTGAATTATTCTTCTGCTTCAGGGTAAAATCATCTGTATGTTCATTTCCTGGCCAGGTTAAGTGAGAGACACTGAATATATGAGTCTGGGTGAGATATAGTTCACTTGCAACCCTCTGTCGGAGATGATCAAACATCTCAGCTTAAAGAGAAAGCCTAATGCTCCTTGTGTTTTCTTTGCACGCATCTTATTTGTCATGCAGATAAAAAAACATTCAAACTGAAAGCTAAACTGAAACCACTCAGGGGTTTTATCTAAGAGAAGACAGTGTTTGCTCTAAACAACTTGTCAGTTTTCTTTTGAATTATTCTTCTGCTTCAGGGTAAAATCATCTGTATACACACACACACACACACACACACACTCCTGCTGTGTTGCTGGTGTATTTCTGATGGGTTTTAGTGTACAGCGACTCTTTAAAGGCTCCAGACATCATATGTCCAGCAGATCTTCCAGCTGTGTGGATCAGTATCTCATTAACATCAGCAACACTACAAAACACACAATCTGAGCTGTTTACAAAGTGAAGCATCACTATAACTAATGCTCATATTTAGAAAGCGATTTTAACAAACCCACAACGATAGATGATGAACAACTCGAAAAATCCCACAGACCTATTGTACATTTAAGGAGAAACCCAAGCCCTTTCTAGAGACCTGTTCTAACCAGCAACCACACAGAACAATCTACTGGAGCTCCTAATCTGAGCCGTACAGCTGTTCGCCTGATGTCTTTTACATTAATGAACAATATGTCACACTCTATGTGAGAGAGTGAAATAGCGGGAGATATATAAAGAATGAGATTGCTGGTATGCAATTGCTTCATATGCTTATTTATTAGATATGAATAAATCATCATGCTAATATATGTAAAACACCTGCCTTAGATATTCATGACATGTCATTGTGTGAAATTATTTTACTCTAAATGTGCTGGGGTAAATATATGCCTTCAAGCTGTATATCATGCATGTATGCAGTATATGCAATGCAGAGAGATGCTCATGTCGGACCGTATGCATGAGATCCTGTTCTCTAATCTCGGAGCGTGAGGGCTCGTCCATTTGGGCAGGTGGCGGCTCCGGGTGGAAGAGCAGATTTGCTGTAATCCACAAGTCAGTTTTTCCACTGATAACATCCACAATAAAAAGACAGCCAAGCATGCTGACATATAAAGGAGTTACAGCTCTGAAACCTCACTCGGTTTTGACCTACTGCACGATTAAACAGCAAAAACCCACTGACGCACAATGAAAGAGGGACAAGTATAGATAAGAAGTCAAGTATATTTATCTAAAAAAAAATAAAAAAAATTATACCTAATTTAATTTTTTATTAAAATGAATGTAAGGGAAGGTCTTTAAACCTAAATCTGATAAAAATGTAAAAATTAATAATTAATGAATTAATAAATAATAAACAATTATTAAATAATAATAATACATTTAAATAATGATATTAATATTAATCATCCTAAAAAATATGGAGATATTCAACTCTCTCAAATGAGAAAATCTATGCAAACAATCCTTGCACTACTAGTCACTGTTTGTTCCATTATAGTCCATTTATTAGACCTAAACTTCTGTGATCCAAAAATCTGACTGTGAGTGCCAGGTTTGCTTCTAGCTTACATTTCTGTAATATTTCTTTATTATATCAGTACACAGAAATGAATGCATGCTATTTTTTTCAACGTAGAACCCATATTATTCTGTTGAGCAGAAAATGTCAATATTTTACCACCCAATGCAGAATGAGATCAATACAATATGATTATTTATATCATACACCATGTGGCTACAGAGCAAATGGGATTAGTATTTTTTATAACTATTCTTATTTGAGATGCTAATGAGAACATCTGAACAAAAACACAGGCTTGATTG